ATAGAGATAGTCTTATCGAAAGAAATCTTGAAGTTGATGATGAAAGAAGAACCACTTTGATGATAGAAGATGCGCGTGAGAATTATTCAACAGACTATGCTATGGTTGGGAATGCAAGCTCTTCTATGAGTCCGCTCCCTTGTCCATCTTCCGTGAGAATCCCAGAACTCTTCTCAACCAAAAAAGACTTAGTAGATAAACTTTTGTTGTTGGCTGTGAAGTACCACTTTGAATTCAGAGTGGTAAAATCAAGCAAGACTTTGTATGTTGTTGCTTGTATTGAGAGAAATTGTCCTTGGCGTTTGAGAGCGGTGAAGATAGGAAGTGGTGAAAATTTTGTAGTACGTAAATATGTTGGTAATCACACTTGCTCTATGAGTGTGCGCCGTAAAGATCACAGGCATGCAACGTATAAGCTGATTGGGAAGCACATTTCTGAAAAGTATAAAGACGTCAATCGGATTTATAAACCGAATGATATTATTTTTGATGTCCAAGAGAAGTTCGGGATAACTATCAGCTATACAAAAGCATTTATGGCAAAGCATTATGGATTTGGTCTCATTCGAGGTTGCCCAGAAGAAAGTTACGTAAAGCTCCCCCAATATTGTTACGTTTTGGAGCAAAAAAACCCTGGGACGGTCACTTTCATAGAGACAAGTGTGGATGGCCATTTTAAATATTTTTTCATGGCTTTGGGACCGTGCATTCGTGGATTCTGCTCTTCCATCAGAAGAGTAATATCTGTGGATGGTACATTCTTGACCGGGAGATATCGGGGTACTTTGCTCATTGCAACATGTCAGGATGCAAATCTTCAAATTTATCCACTTGCTTGGGCAATAGTAGACTCCGAGAACCATCTTTCCTGGACTTTCTTCTTTGAAAAGTTGAAAGATATAACAGGTGATTCTCCCGATCTTGTTATAGTTTCGGATAGGGGAACAAGTATTCCTGGTGCGTTTAATACAGTGTTTGAACATGCACACCATGGATGGTGTAACTATCACTTGCTGAGAAACTTAAAATCTGAGTTTCCAAGGTTGGAATTGGATGCATTCTTTTGGGCAACGACCGAAGCATACACGATACCTGATTTCGAATCCAACATGGCAGCATTATGCAATAATAATCAGGGAATGCAGACATACTTAGAGAAAGCTGATTTGCCCCGTTGGGCCAGAGCACATTTTAGAGCAACTCGTTTCAACATAATGACAACAAACAATGCTGAATCGTTGAACTCTGTGTTGAAGCGTGCTCGAGAATTTCCTATCCTTGGCCTAATTGAACATATCAGGGCGACACTGCAAAAGTGGTTCCACGAAAGAAATCTTGCCTCTACAAATTGCAGTAGCTTTCTTACCCCACCATTTGAGGAGAAAATGCGGAATAGATACGACGAGTCCAACGGACTACAAGTGTTGCATGTAACACCAATGATTTTGCAAGTTGGTGGAAGGCATGTCGTTGATCTCGACCAAATGTCATGCTCATGTCGAAAGTTTGAAATGGATCATTTTCCATGTTCGCATGCCATTGCCGCAATAAAAAATTTGAATAACAACGGCTACAATTTCTGCACTTTAATGTATTCGAGCTCTGCATGGAGAGAGGCATACTCTGAACTTATTCACCCTTTGCCCAATGAAACCGATTGGATGGTTCCAGAAGAAATTATGTCAAGAATTGTGTTGCCGCTACCATCACGACGTCCAAGGGGTAGACCTACATTCGAAAGGAAAAAATCGGCAGGTGAGGCTCGAAGAAAATCAACTACTACTAAACCTCGCCAAATTCATAAATGTAGTAGGTGTTCCAAAGTCGGGCATAATCGTGGAAGGTGTCCAGAGAAAAACATCAATGAAGCAACTTGAAATTATATTTTGATTAGTGTATTGCTTTTGACTTTTTAACCTTTTTGTATAGTGTTTTGACTCGGCCATATAGTGTTTTAACTTTTTGTTTGTTGTTTTTGATGTGTTCTCCAATTCATTAAAGTGAGTTGATAAAGTTTGAAATTATATTTTGTCTTGTGTTTAATTTTTTATGTGTATCCAATGTAGTGGTTGTTGAAAATACTAAGGGTAATTGATTCACCTAATGTACTTATTGAACAATTGTTATAGGCAATTTGGAAACAAACGACAATAGTCTCGTTTTATAGTATTATATAGTAGTACTACATTAAAAAAGGCTAAAAAAGAAAGTATAACGACAGTACAGTCGTTATAAAGTATGAAATAACGAAGGTAGCATCGTTATCGCTATCGCGGTCGCGATGTTTATCACCGGCGCGACACTGAAGTTAATATCAGTCGGGCAGAGAGCTTCCCAGGTTGTCGCGGGCGCGATATGTGTCGCGGGCGCGACACTCTGCTTTTCTTTTTTTGACAGACAGCTGTCCAGGATGTCACGGACGCGACACGTCCCGCGACCGCGACCAATGGGCCTGTTGCGGGCGCGATACCTGTCGCGGGCGCAACACGAAATATAGAGGTGTAGAAGCTCGCGACGGCTTGTCCCGGGCACGACAGGCAGGTTCGCGGGCGTTTTTTAGTTATTTTTGAAAAAACGGATAGATAATGTAGAATCGTTGTTTATTCGTTATTTTACACTAAAAATGACTAAAAGTAGACCTAACGAGTTAATATTTTTATAATGTATTATATGACGAATGCACGTTCGTTTAAGGTGGATTGTGTCGATAAAAAACCATAACGACTGTACATTCGTTATAACGAGTGTATATTCGTTATAGTTTTTTTCGACAACAACCGCGCTTTCTTCATGGTTTTTTTGATCTAGTTACTTGATAACGACTGTATATTCATGTTACATGTCATTGGAACTATAGTTTGAAGTTTTTAGAGCGTCGAAACACTAACAATGAAACTATTTTTTAAAATAACAATACTTGTTCTTTTTGTTTTTTTTTTTTTTTGTTTTTGGTTAATTCATTATTTTACATGAAACATGAGTTAAATTGTACCTACAAAGAGTGTAATATCTCTGTGATGGATTATATATTGAGTTTTTGGTGTTTTTGATCGAGACTGAGCCATAACGAATGTACAATCGTTATCACGAATGTACAATCGTTATGGTGCAAATCGCAACGAAAGTGCTCCCGTTTTGGGGTTTTTTTAATGAATCACGTTTAAAACATTGTTCCTGGTCATATATCAACTTTGAACAATAGTTTGGACCCGTTCTTGCGTGGAGATACTCATAACAAATGGAAATACTCATTACTATACTTGTTCTTTTTGTTCTTTTTTTTTTGTAAAATGAGAAAGATGATGTGAAATCTTTGTTAATTCATTATTTTACATGAAACATGAGTTAAATTGTACCTACAAAGAGTGTAATATCTCTGTGATGGATTATATATTGAGTTTTTGGTGTTTTTGATCGAAACTGAGCCATAACGAATGTACAATCGTTATCACGAATGTACAATCGTTATGGTGCAAATCGCAACGAAAGTGCTCCCCTTTTGGGTTTTTTTTAATGAATCACGTTTAAAACATTGTTCCTGGTCATATATCAACTTTGAACAATAGTTTGGACCCGTTCTTGCGTGGAGATACTCATAACGAAATGGAAATACTCATTACTATACTTGTTCTTTTTGTTCTTTTTTTTTTGTAAAATGGGAAAGATGATGTGAAATCTTTGTAAATTCATTATTTTACATGAAACATGAGTTAAATTGTACCTACAAAGAGTGTAATATCTTTGTGATGGATTATATATCGAGTTTTTGGTGTTTTTGATCGAAAATGAGCCATAACGAATGTACAATCGTTATCACGAATGTACAATCGTTATGGTGCAAATCGCAACGAAAGTGCTCCCGTTTTGGGTTTTTTTTAATGAATCACGTTTAAAACATTGTTCCTGGTCATATATCAACTTTGAACAATAGATTGGACCCGTTCTTGTGTGGAGATACTCATAACGAAATGGAAATACTCATTATTATACTTGTTCTTTTTGTTTTTTTTTTCTTTGTGTAAAATGGGAAAGATGATGTGAAATCTTTGTAAATTCATTATTTTACATGAAACATGAGTTAAATTGTACCTACAAAGAGTGTAATATCTCTGTGATGGATTATATATCGAGTTTTTGGTGTTTTTGATCGAAAATGAGCCATAACGAATGTACAATCGTTATCACGAATGTACAATCGTTATGGTGCAAATCGCAACGAAAGTGCTCCCGTTTTGGGTTTTTTTTAATGAATCACGTTTAAAACATTGTTTCCTGGTCATATATCAACTTTGAACAATAGTTTGGACCCGTTCTTGTGTGGAGATACTCATAACGAAATGGAAATACTCATTACTATACTTGTCCTTTCGTTTTTCTTTTTGTAAAATGGGAAAGATGATGTGAAATCTTTGTAAATTCATTATTTTACATGAAACATGAGTGAAATTGTACCTACAAAGAGTGTATTATCTCTGTGATGGATTATATATCGAGTTTTTGGTGTTTTTGATCGAAAATGAGCCATAACAAATGTACAATCGTTATGGTGCAAATCGCAACGAAAGTGCTCCCGTTTGGGTTTTTTTTTAATGAATCACGTTTAAAACATTTTTCCTGGTCATATATCAACTTTGAACAATAGTTTGGACCCGTTCTTGCGTGGAGATACTCATAACGAAATGGAAACAAAAATGTGTAACATTATATTGATTTTATACAAAGGTAATAAGAAAACAAAAAAAATTAACTGGCCCGCGACAGCCTCTACATCGCGGTCGTGACGAGGCGTCGCGCGCTTCTGTGGCACCATATTTGGAGTCGCGCCGCGACATAGTGTCGCTCCTGCGACGACCTGGAAGCGCGGTAGTCACGCCCGCGATAAACGTCGCGTCCGTGACATGCTGAGCCTATAAATAAACGCCCCCGCCCGTTCTCTCCCCGCATTCCTCATTTTTCAAAACCAACTCTTAAGAGAAAGAAAAAAAAAAAAAAGAAAAACCACTCCGCTCGAGAAAATCGTTCCTTTCATCTCCAATCTCCGGCGATAACACCACCTCCGGCCACTTATTCTGACCGGGTTTGGACACTCCCTCTTTCCGGCAACTTATATTTCGGCAAGGTTGTCTTCTCGTAAGCCATAATTGCTAAAAGCCATTCCGACAAACATCATCCTCTCGACTTCAACACACGGTAAGGTCTCGCAAATTGCTTGAATAGTATAGTTACAAATTAATTGTTTGTGGTTTGATGAATCTAACTCTTTTCTTTTTTCGCAATTTTCAAACACATTATTGCGCACACAAGGTGTTCGAGAAATTGCCACAACTAGGCAAGAGGGCTATATCGCTTGCATCCACTTACTTCCTTCGAGAGTATTCAATAACTGATCATGGGAAAGGCTTCGTCATCAAAAGCTCCCTCCAAAGGAAACAACCAAGGCAAAAGAAAAGCAATTACGAGAACCCCGCCTTCTTCACCGGACTCGAACAATAGCAACTCGAACTCGGACACCGAAACTCAAACTTTGGCTCAAAAGCACGGCATTCCATTCCCAGTTTTCTCTCAAGATGAGGTGCACTCGTACAAACGCCTCATGAAGATGAAATGCCGGATCCCAAGGACACTTGATTGGGAGTTGCTAGACTCATTAAAAATCTCGGATGACGTGAGGAAATACTTGAAGGCACTCAATATTGAGAAGTACGAAGCCATGGACAATGTGGCATGCGAGGATCTATCGGTTGAATTCTTTACCACATTTGTACCACAAGACAAAGGAAAGTCTTTCGCTTTCCGGATGAAAGGTAAAGAATACAAGGTTGATAACAAGGTGATGCATGAGGTCTTTGGTTTCCGCATGATGGGGTCTCGCCAAGTACCCGGTGATTTTGACGTACACAAGAATTGGGCCGTACTGTCTCCATGCCACAAATTCAAAGTAAAGGGCCCATCAAATGGGCTAATCAAAGATGTGGCCATTGCAGTGGTACACAAATTTCTGTGCTACAATATTTTTGGCAAGAAAGACTCGAACAAGGTTAGCGAGAAAGAAGTTTATCTCTTGTCGGCAATGTGTGCAAAGAAGCCCATATGCATTACTGCATTTGTTAAAGAGACACTCCGGGAAACGAAAATCTTCGCCAACCGCCCTCCGAGATTGGCCAATGTCGTCACCGCGCTTGCTAAGGACTTCAAATTTCAAATTGATGAAGTGCCGCTTCAACCGAAGAAGATCGTGTTGTGGGATTTGACGAAAGCCGAGATCGTTTCAAACAGCACCACGATCATTGATTACAAATTCCGAGGTTGCTATAAGGCATATATGGAAGAGCTGAAAAAATCATTCGAAGTAGGTAGTTCCTCTCAGCCACCACCTGATACCGAGGACGAGGCAGAGGACGAAGAAACAGAGACCAACCCGAATGACTATTTCCTCCCTCCAGTAGTTGACGCGGCCGCTCCGGACGCACGATCTCAACAAGCCCCCGTTTGGTTCGATACCTTCATTGAGCATAATGATAGGCGTTGGGAGAAGCACAACAAGAGGCTCGATGAATTCATTGAGCATAATGATAGGCGTTGGGAGGAGCACAACAAGAGGTTCGATGAACGTTGGACCCAATGGGAGTCTCGACAATTTGATCAGTGGAAACAATGGGGCGACCAGTTCCAGCAATGGGACGTTCGCTTGAGTTCAGGCAGCAGCCTACCCTACCCTCCACCTCCACCTCCACCATCGGATGCAACGGATGCACAGTGACAGTGCGTTGTCTTTAGAGAAAGACTTGTATTCTAGACTTCATAATTATCAGTTTTATCTTTCGGATTTGGTTTGACTTATGGATTTGGTTTGTCTTTTTTAGATTTGTATTTTCTAATGGATTTGGATTGTCTTTTGGATTCGACATTTGGCTTTTCAGTTTTCTTTCTTCTATTGCAATGTGGATTTGATTCATGATTTGGTTTGTGTTTAGATCGCAAAATAACCAAATCGTGTATATTGGTTATTGCATACATCATAACGAATGTAAATTCGTTATGGTTATTTTTCAATCAAATACAAACAACGAAATGATTCTTCATGGTCTTTCCATTTCTGAAAGAAACAAGTATCGTTATTTCTGAAAATGATTTTCGTCGCGACCTAAAACAAAAAAAAAATAAAAAATTAAAGAAATGAAAAAAAATAAAAAATGCTCGCGACAGCCTGATCGTCGCGCCCGGGACAGCCGTCGCGAGCTTCTGCAGCTTGATATTTCCTGTCGCGGGCGTGACTATCACCGCGGGCGCGACACTGAAGGGGACAGAACACTTGCCAGGATGTCGCGGGCGCGACTAGCGCCGCGGACGCGACACTAAGGGGACAGAATCCTTGCCAGGATGTCGCGGGCGCGATGACCGCCGCGGGCGCGACATGGAAGGGAACAGAACCCTTGCCTGGATGTCGCGGGCGTGATGATCTGCGCGGCCGCGACTCTGGACTCTATATAATTTTTTTTAAACAATTAAAAAAACATTAGTACAAGGTTCCTCGGCTTAATTCCGGATCTCAGCATCGAACTCCTTCAATCGGATTGCGAAGGGCTGATAAAATGCTATTATAAAGAAGGTACATTCATTATGTAATGTATTATTTTATCTAATGGACATAAATTATAGCTATAACAATGTACTTCCTCTATTATATAATGCATTATACCGTGACTACAGTCATTCCAAAATTTCCATAATAGCTGTTCAAGAAATACATTAGGTGAATTAAATGCCGGTAATACATTAGGCAATTACGTGAAATAACAATACACCCGTCAAAAAACAACTTAAAAACTTAGCAACTCGTTTCTTTACACTGAAAAACACATAAAAAATAAGACAACAGTCAAAATGTGATATCCAAAACATCCATACAAGCCATTGAATATTCAACTCCTAAAACAAACTAAGGATCAAAATGTTGTGCAAAAATTTCAGCTGCTAGTTTGATACGCCAAGAGGGAATCATTTTTTGCTCTACGCCTTTAACATCCTTCCCAGCATGCAAATACTCGATGAATTTGATTGTAAACATCCCACAGTCAAACCTGTAATATAAATGTACAATATCTATTAGTTTACCAAGTTTGATAATACACTTATAATCATGATATGATGAAATATATGTTATACATACCCATTTGCTTGGCTAGGACATGGTAATCGTTTCAAATCAATTTTTTTTGAACTATAGGTAGCATTCAACATCCTCATTAGCATAGGTACGACAACTCGAATGGGCTCTAATTCTGTTTCAAATTGTCGCTTCCGCATGACACTCGGTGAACTATCATATACGTCAATGCATCTTTTGGAGAGATCAATATCGAGTGCTACCCAATGTTCATCTAGTCCACGCCTTTGCATGAGGGGGTACTTTCCCTTCGGCGTACTTAACTAATGCCTTTGGAAAATTTGTCCTATCAAAGCTTTCAACTTTTGACGCGTCTTTAAAGAACATTCTTACATAAGACACAAAATGCGGGTCCAAGATGACACAATCTTGTCTAAACAAGTGAGGGTACTCTATAGCCCGACATCTCATGTGAAAAAGAGTTGCATCTACATGCTAAGAGTATATAATGTTTATTAGATTAGTAAATGTCATGTTTAGAGAGTAAAATATGGAAAAAAAAAATTAAATACTTTACCCCACTACAAAGCCATTTATCGTCCAGAAGGTCATTAAAAATTTTTTTCCCTGTGCTACCGCTACCCCAAGCTACGTCAATTTCATCACTACATAAAAATCAGTAAATTAGACAAAGAAATACAACCTTATATATTAGAATGAGTAGCCCACAATTAACTTAACACAAATACATATCTTTCAGGGGAGTTCGCCAACCACCGCCTTAAACCTCAAGTTTAGCTTCATCCAGTGTCCTATGAGGGTCGTACTCCGTGACATTTGGAATTTTTTGTCTTTTTCCGGGATTCCTCCACGGAGTAAGTAGGACGGTGGCCTTTCTTTTCTTCCGGTGGCCTCTTCCCTTAGGAGACTCGGGTGCATCATCTTCATCAGTTTCCTCGATCTCCATAGGTAGTTCTTGGAATATCTTTGATGACAGGTCGGTCACAACACCTACAATAGGCAAGAAAACAATCAATACTCATTTATTAAAAATAAAAAACTATCAAATTACGTATAATTACAATTACATTTTACATACCGGTATCGAATCCATGTTCATTCTTCTTTGGTGAGACAACCTCCTCAGAAAATTTGTCTTCGACCAAGACAACTTTTTCTTTTGCCCTCATTTCCAAGCCCACTTCATCATGAACTCCCACCTTTTCTTTCTCGGGAATGGGAGATGGTGAATTGATCGTGTCTGCAAAAGAAACAAAAAAATTATGTAATTCAACAATATGGTGAATTTGTTTTAAAATATATCTTTATGTAAAAAAAATATTACAATAACTTGTTCTATTTATTTTTTTAGTACTCGAGTAATAACAGTAATATGATGCATCTATTTTAAAAGAATACCTTCAACACCATCTACTGTTCGAGCGGTCTCCGTATCAACATTTGTCCCGTCATAAGTAGCACGGGTAGATGGACTATCTTTTGATTGAAAAACTAAATCTTTTATTCGCTCAAAAAACTTGTCCATCTTCATGTCCATTCGCTCAGAAAACTTGTCCATCTTCATTTCCATTTGCTCAGAAAATAATCTCATCTCATCCTTCACAACCTCCCTGACTATAGCTGAAATCTTTTCAGCACCAAAAACTTGCGGTTGTGGTGGATCTAACTGAGATGCATCATTTTTTTCTTCTTCCTCGTCTTCCTCGTCTTCCTCATCATCCTCATCCTCATTTTCTTCTTCTTCTTCTTCTTCTTCTTCTTCTTCTTCCTCATCTTCAGGGACAATACGGAATTCCTTCAAGTATGAAGTTTTAACTTCATCCTTGAAGGTTGTAATGTTCGTCGAACTTCAACCTGATTATAGTATAATTAGTTTTTTCAAAACTATAAGAATAAATAAGATGAATTATCCATAACAAAAATTACCTCCGACGTGTTGAAAAACGTACTAAGTTGCTCACTTCGCCACTGTTTTTTCATTTGCCAAGCCAAAATTCTCGGAAGTCTGGCACCCCCACCACAAGTTTCAGCAAATTTTCTTCCAACCTCAGGCAGTGCCTCAAATGCCCAAACCTACTTAGCAAACAACCAAAAAAAAATTAAGAATACAACTAACATAAATAAATAAAAAAGAGCATAAATATATATTTATATGAAAAATACCATGATAGCTAGGGGAAATCCATGCAAAGAATACTTCATCTCTGTATTTTTTGTAATATCAAACCTCTTCCGCTTGAACAACTTTACGGTGTACTCGTATGACAAGTTCCCCCAAGGATAGCTATTGAACTCCTCCAAATTTTCAACGAGATGAAACCGTTTTTCATCCACAAGAGTCCGACACTCGTTAGACAAAACCACATGCTCCAGGACCGTGAGAAGCCCCAATTTGTATATCAAATCTGCATCTTCCTCCTTCTTTACCAAATCATCAAATTTATTGAGCAAGTCTTTCTTTGTTAGCTTCCCTCGCTTCCCTTTGAATAAATGCAAAAGCGAACTACTTCTTTCCGGGACCTCGTACGAAGCCACATCATGCACAATCTTGAATCCGCTTACAAGAGAAAATTCTTGTAACCCGAAGCTAGCTTCTTTTTCTCCAAATTTGAACCACACGGCGTCTTTTTCGGTCTCGGATGATTTCAAGGTCCTTTGAAGAAGGTGGTGGATTATTTGAGACGCCAATTTCAAATTGGGAATGTGCACTAGTGTCCGGAAGCATGATTTCACAAATAGACCTTTATGTACATCATCTAGATTATTAAATACATGATCGGCAACCTTGAGTTCGCACCTATTGGTCACGACTCCTGAGCATGTCGAAGGTATCTCAAACGCTAACTCCATTTCCGTTCCTAAAAGAAGATAAGAAAGACAATATTAAGAAATTATAAATTAGTAATTGCACATTATTAAGAAATTAAGAAGTACACCATTCGTTATATTTTGAAATTAACAAGTACAACATTCGTTACATCAATCACACGCACATTCGTTATGTTTTTCAACAGAGTACTTTAAATGAAGTATAATATAATTGTTTTTTTAGTCCTTTCTATACCAGAAATGCAGCGCAGTACAAAAACTTGTAAAATGGTGCTTGTTTTTCTCTATGTGTACACTATGCATTCACATTCAACTTCCTAACTGTGGCTTGAGAAGTTTTTCGCGATTTTCGGGTATAGCTAACAATGGCCAAACTATATGTCTATACACCTTTCATGTGTTCTGGTAATTTAAATATCCTCTGTTTGTGTTATGATGATCACCAATGAAAAATGCAGTGCATAGCAGAGAAGAGAATATGAATTTCCATTCACATCTATAATACCTTTCTCGTGAGTTTATCACATAAACACGAGAAGCAACTGAAGAATCTTTATAAATCAACGACACATTCGTTCGTCTCGACCAAGTGTTTATCAGCCATAGGGGCCCAGGGAGTGAGTACTGTCGACTCTCTCGAGATCAGCTTAGCTTCGGGGAGGAAGATAGTTATGAATTCCCTGGCCAAGAACCTTAGCATTAATGGGAAAGAAACAATGTTTTAAGCTCAGATAAAATTTCATCTTATTTCCTGTACCTAGTTTTTGAATGTAAAAAAATAAAAAATGAAAAAAAAAAATTAAAGAGGTTGAGATTTGACTAAACTATCTGGTTACATATATTTTACAAACTTGTACTGAAAAATATTCCACAGCCTACTGAAAGAGGACTTTTTTAAGAATATGAAACTCAGAATTTGTTAAAAAATAGTTGGAACTAATTAGAATATATGATAAAAATAAAATGGTTGAAAAAATGGTTTAAGTGAAAATATCAATATATAAGAACAAGAAACTTTTGATACAGAATGACAACTCATTTAAAGAATCTTGAACTGATATTGTGTCACAAATGATCAAACACATTAAAAAATTGAGTCCATAGGGATAAATCATAACCTCTAATAAATTAGTACATTCATAACGAATGTACATTCGTTATGGTTATATTTCCATCCCGGTCGATTAAATACACCTATACCTTCACTATGTAATACGTTATAACGATATTTTACTCATTATAGTTACAATTTAAGTCATTTTTAATGGATTCTATCAATTTCTAAAACGAAACAAGTATCGTTATCTCAAAAAATGAGTTTCGTTATAAATATTACGATACTATAATTGAGGAGTTCGATACATTTGCAATACAATGCTAGTTTACTTACAAAATACGACCTAAAGTGTATTTGATCTATGAGTTTTTGATGAGTGCAATAGCCAACAACATCAGAGTTGCAAAAAAAATAACAAGGCCATATTCACTCGGACAATTAAGTACCAAACAAAGCACAAAGAGATACTCTGCAAAGAAATCAATGATGAAGGAACTATTTGAATACTCTACTCAGCCACATAATGAGTTTCTCAAGACCTTTATGCACACACAAAATTAGCAAAATCAGATGAATTCACATAACACAATCAAAATCTTGTTCCACGAATATCACAGGCCCAAACACATAGAAATTAATTAAAAAAACCAAAAAAAAATTGAACCCTATCCTTATCTGAATTGACGGCGAGAGAGAGGTCCATAGTGATAGTGCGCGAGAGAAGCAGGTCGGACGGAAGGAAGAAGAGTGGGCGAGATGCAGATTTCGAGAGAGGAGGTCGAGAGAGCGCCGGTCGTCGCGAGCTTGGGTGAGGAAGGAAGGGGAGCGTGAAATCGAAGAGAATAGGAAGAATAGGAACAAAAAGAAAGGAAGGTGAAAATTGGTCCGCATAAAGGAAGAAAAAAAGATTTTGTGTTAAGGGTATATTAGTAAATTGCTATTTAATATGATTACTTATTAAGTTTTATTGTACAAATTTAGTCAAGGTTCATTTACACAAATTTTTGTTTGCAGAGGGTCATGCGGACCAATTTCCACCTGCGACGACTAAGAAATTGGAACTGCTGCTCACCGGAAACGGTCTCACGATTGTTGTGCGCGGTCCATCTGCAGCGAGGAAGAAGGGGTTCGACGAAGGCTGGGAATTTGTGGCGATTAAAGATGATATGCCGATCGATTTCAGATATTGGGTGTTCTGAGATTTGGGGGAAATATCATTGCTAAGGGTTTGCGGCGTGGTGTTCTGATCGATCTTAGAGACGAGAAATAATTTGAGTGCTATTTGCCGAGATTATCCCTTGCTAAAGTGGGCTGAGAATTTCACCAAATTGGGCCGAGATTTAACTTGTATTTGGGCCGAGATGTACACAAATTTGGCCGACTATATTTAAAGCTTAAAAGGCTGAAAAATACGGCTAATTATGGGTCTCGATAACTTCTATGAAATCGAGAAACGATAAATATTGACGAAACCCAAATTGGGTTAAAACAGCTTCGACGGCTACTGATAAAATAAATCAAATAAAGTCGAATGCTAACGAATATCCGATAATTATACAATGCTCGAAAAATAAAATACGACGTCCCGGAGAATTAAAATAATTAATCCGACAATATATATATATATATATATATTAATTCAAATAATAACATTATTTTGGCAATTAATGACAATTAGACATTTAATAATAATAATAATAATAATAATAATAATAATAATAATAATAATAATAATAATAGACAATAAATAATAGTAGTAATAATAATAATAATAAATAATTTCAAATAATCCATAAATAAACGGGGCATTACAGTATACCCACCTTATAAAGAATTCCGTCCTCGGAATTCGAAAAACAAACCACGACATGATACTAACGAGAAAAAGAGGGGAAAACATCAACACATGAAATTCGGGTATCTCCTCCGAATTTCGGTCCTCCTCCTCCCAAGTCGCCTTGTCTTGACAACCACCACTAGACTTTGACGAGTACCCCTCCCGGTCTTTTTCTAAAAGTCACCGGTACCTCCAAAAAGGTAGGGTTCTGCATATCTCGCAACTCGTCACATCTCACATGTACTCCGAGATCACGCACACGTTTCCTCCATCAAGAGGCATAAAACGTGTCATGCATCCTCGCGAGCTCCGGTGGTGGAGTCAACCATCAGGCTAAATCAACGATTTGGTTAGGAATCAAAATAGGACTGAGTACGCGTGGCAGTAACCAGAACAACGGCATACTCTACCTCTATCCGTACCAGTCACCTCGCATGGTACCATTAGGGTTGTTGCTAGATAACCATCGTTACCAGCGTACCTCCCCATGGTAAAGAATTTCTCACACCCTACTCATCTATCAATACACAAGACCCTAACCGGTCCTTACGTGTCTTGATTGCATACTCCAACAGGATCAACATATATGGTTGACTCGTAGCATCGAGCTTCAATCTCGTGTCCGGGTCACGCTAGAAAACTCGATCACTACACGACCGGATCCGTGCGTCCTTAGGCCGCCACGGAATCCCATACGGATGGGCTAACGACCAATCAGTATCACTATACTAATACCTTCAGAACACACGGCTCCGATCGATACTGCTGATAACGCCTACTTCCCTGCCGACACGAGTAACACCTCGTATGCGGTTTAGGAAGTATCGACTAGATGTTCGAAAACAATCTCCCATCGCAGAATCGGCCTCACGATTAGGGATGTTCAATATTCCCATACTAACGGTCTATCTCCAATACCCTCTCACTTTTCGTAGGTCTCGCTCTCTACGAAGTATACACAGTCTCCAATCGAGACTCGAGATGCTGCCCGGAAATGATGCGGGACCTCTATCTTGCCATCTCGAGAGAATCTCGCATATGGCAAAGGAAACTAATCGACAAGCCTCACATATCGAGAGTTGTTGTAATGCACTGCCACCCAAGAGATGACACACACACTGACGTTGCATAAGTGAGGCGCTGGGACGCGTGCGTGCACCTGTTCGGATACCAGCTGCAAGGTCAAGGTTTGGCCGTACACACTGCCTGGGGAGTTCCTGCGTTGGGTGATGGCGGCGGCAGCTCTCGTGCGAGTCAACGGTCGGCCACTGCAGTTGGCCTCACGTCTCTCAGCACGGGCGTGCGGGCTCGGCCACCACTTCGCGTGGCTACACCCATCCAGGTTCGGCGTTCAATTCAAAGTACATACCAGAAATTTCAATTTCCGGGTTCATAATCTCCTAGGTACTCAGATAGAAAAAGGTTTCCTTACAAGACTTCCCAAACTACAGCAGTTTAAGAAATACTTTTGAGCTACAATTTCCTAAAGGAATTGAACATTGGCATCATTGCCCGGAAAAATCCTAACATCAGCGGTCATTGCCGAACATTAGAATGGTTAGCTCGTTTGACCCTTCCGACTAACAATGTCGGCCGTTGCGACAACTTTTACTCAAGTAGCTAATCGTGCCGGCGGTCCTAAACGAGGTCGACCACATATACAGCTTATAACTTCCACACTTCGAGATCTTAGCGTAAAGCTTCTCTCGCAAGTGTTTCTAGCCAACATTATAACACTAATCAGATTAAGTCACATAGGGAACATAAACATGAAAATTGACGAAAAGCTAATTGTTTGAAATTCACAACTCAATTTGGAAACCTAAACATGAACTTGCACCAATTTTCAGAATGCGCGATGAATTTAAAAATGCATGTAGCTTTCAGTCTACAAATCATATCATGTCGAAACCACTTGGAATATATCCCTAACTCATGCCTATATCACTTTCATGAAGAACACTCAGGCAGATAAAGTCATTTACAGGCACATAATACAACAAACATCCAAAACATAGGTGCAGTGGATAAATGAAGATATACAGCTTGACAGGTTCTCAGTGTATGCACAATAACCGAAGCTATAAATATGATATTACTGAAATTTAATAACCCAAGGTAGCTAAC